CGGCATCCACTTACTATCATCACATGGACAGGGTAGTATTTAGGCAAGTTAGCTGTGCGCTGGAGGCTTTTCACCAGGCACCTTCTTTAGAAGGATAGATCACCTGCCAGACAGTGGTAATGGTTGCACAGCATTACCAACCTTGATGCCACTAAACTGTACACTTAGAAATGGCTAAAGTGATAAATTTATGAGTACTCTAACACAATAAAAAGGACTTAAAAAGCCATTGAGAAACCAAGGTATGCCCCAGTAAATGTTAACAAATTAATATTTACCAGACACCCTATTCCATTTGTCTGTAGCCTTTTGTCTCAATTTTTTTTTTTTTTTTTTAAGTATTTGGTTGTTATAGAGCCTTACTATGCAGCTCAGACTCATGGTGATCCTCCTGTTTTTAGCCTTCCTGGCGCTGCGATTACAGGTTTGCACCAGCATGCCTGGACTCTGGCCCATCCAGCCCACCCTGGACAGCAGGGCTGGTGCAGCATGTGGTGTCAAGGACATTAGTTGCCTGAGTCCTCACTGACCTTGAAAGGGTAGGGCCACAATGTTGGCTATCCTTGCAGCCCTTCTTTTTCTCTAATTTTTTGTCTGCAAACTTAAGTTGTTAACTCTCCAGAAAACAAGCTTAATGATATTACTACCTGAAAACATAGGCTGTTGAGCTTAGCATCAGTATCTGTCTGAATATCAAACACCTTAGACATAACATGGAACAGGTATTTTCCATCAATTGTTGATATGCTAAACTTTAAATCCATATGGAATGAGGAAAAAATAGTAAAAAAATAGAAATAAACAATTACAAATTTTTACACAGAAATGTAGAAATCTAACCAACCATGTACAACATTGTAGCAGGATAGTCCTATGACATTTTTTCTTGTGTCTTGTTTTCATTTATTACTTTTTTTTAAAAAACAGACCTTTACTAGAGAGAGAGTATAGCAGTAATTGACATGACATTAGAAGCAGTACACATTTAGAAGACCAGAATGACAGTCATTCCAAGCATGGCCGTAGTATTACACATTGCTATCCTCAGTGCAGTTGCTCAGTTCACAAGTATTAGCATATATAGTTAGTCAGGGTGAGAATCCTACCAATTAACTGCTAGTTTCAAAAACCTGATGGAGATTCTCAGGATCATTGCCTTAACCATCTTGTGCATATGAATGTATTGTTTTGCCCCTGCCATGTTTCCTAGCTTTTCTCCTTGCCCTCCCTTTATCGTTTAATCCTTAAGTTCTCACTTTTCATTTAATTGTGTTATACCTTTCAATTTTTATTTCTTCTTTTGAGTTCTTACACTAGGGAGACTATATGATATTTACACATGTGGGTCTGGTTTATTTCACTTATGAATATATCTTCAAAAATGAATATATCTTCAAGTGGCATCCACTTAAATATAAAGGCTTCGAGTTTATCATTCTTTATAGTTGAGTAATACTCTATTGTGTAAACTCTGTGGCTTTTGAGATCCAATTTTATTCTGGATATGTAAAAACAGCTGGGCTGCAGTAGAGTTGATCCTAGTCCTCCATTATCACCTATTTGACTTTCAGAAGGGTATTTGATAGCAGTGAGCTCTGTGTAAAGCAAGGAGAGCACTAACTAGGATGCTGCCTTTGGCTGCTCATCTTCTTCCCTTCCACTGACTGCAGCCTGCACCTGCCCCTTCCCTCTTTCCCTCTTTCTCTCCCTGGCTTACATAAAGCTCTGCTCTGGTCACCAGCATTACCTGCACACATTGTTGTGTTGAGCTCTGTGAGTCCCACTGCTAAATCCCCTGATGTCAGTATTCTGCTTCTCTATTTATTTCCTATTTTAGGCCAGTATAATCTAGTGCCCTGCCTGTATATAGAGTTTATAGGCTTGTTTCTGGACTTTTCCGTATATATGGTTGCATGTGATTAAAACTGGAATTTAGGGAACAAATACTTACAGTTTTGGCATTATCTCCCTAAAGAATCCCCTAGCTTTATAAGCATCTGATAAAATTACATAATTAACTCTCCACAGAAGAGCATTATGATGGATGCAAATGGACTCAGGGTTGAATTTGTTGAATGTATTATTTGACATAAAGGATACTGGGTCTACAAGTGCCCACAACAAGCATTTGTAAAGAAATGATTCCTTCTTAATTTTGAATTCATATCCAAATTGCATTCTCTTTGGTAAATACTAACTTGATGAATTGCATTTCTTCAGAATCATGGGTACTCCTATAATTGCTTATCAAGGTTCAGTTATTTGCAGGCCAGTGGAGGATCTAATTCAGTGTTCTTTAAAGGAAAATCCAGAGGGCCTGCTAAATAGCTCAGTGGATTAAAGTACCTGCAAGCAGACTCAGGGGCTGGGGATTGATCCTCAGGCCTGCTGTACCAGCCCCGCCCCCGGGGCATGCTGAGACTCTATTGAGACTGGGTGTGGTGGTACACACCTGTAATCCCAGTACTTGGTAGGCTGTAAACAGGAGAATCACTACAAGTCCAATGTAGTAGTGAGACCCTGAACACCCTCTAGACCCTTCCCTAAAATACAGAAAAAAGAAAATCCATAGACATATTCTTTGAATCTTGAGAATTTTTCCCCTTTAAAAGGGAATTTATACATTACTTTGAGGGGAGAAAAAAGCAGTGTCCCTCAGAAGTGGCAAAGTTTATTGTTAAGGGGATGTTGAAAATACCCAAAAAAAGGGGTCGGGGCGGGGAGATGGCTCAATAGAATGAGCGCTTGCCTGGCAAGCGCAAGGACCTGAGTTCAATCCCTGGTAAAAAAAAAAAAAACACTTTAAAAAAGAAATCCTTATAATTATCAAAGAATAAAAAGCCAAACAGGGGAAATGGCTGTTAAGGTTGTCGGATGTGAGAGGCCTAGGCTGATGAAGACAAACAAGCAAATGAGAAGTGAGAGAAATTCGGTAGGTACTTCAGAGCCACCACTGTTGCTTGGAACTTGACTTCATAGGCTGGGGTAGGGTTATATATGTAATGCTTTGGCCTGGCATAGAGAGCCAAGGACACGGGACAAGTGGTGGTCAATTTCAGCTCTGAATGGAGTTTACTTTGGCCTTGTGCTAAATGCCAAGCTAAATTGACAGCTCTTTAGTACCAGTTTGATGCTTAGGTGTAGTCACTGTGGGTGTCGCTGAGTCTTATTCATGAAGCAGAATTTGAAGAAGTGGGCAGTTTGAGGATTCAGACAAAACATAATAAGAGAAAGGTGGATCTGTCCAATTGAGGGACGACTGTTGATCCCAGCATAGTGGCTTTCTGCCCTCCCCTGTATTTAAGCAAGCATCCTGATGTCAGTGAGTGAGTACTTCCAGATGTTGGGCCTGCCACAGGCTAAGATGGGTGTCATCGAGTGCTAATAATTACAGTGATGGAGGCTGCTTTAGTTAAAATAATCAATGATCCCAGGATTGTTTTATTTTTGTAGTCCTGTCTCTGATTATTCCAAGTACTTTATGACAATTAAATTTAAATTATTTAAAATTTCATTTTATAAGCCTTATGTTTTAGTATTCAAACTTTTTAACAATAAGCATTAGAAAATGTTTTCTTGAGGTTCTGAGAGTATATATACTGTATGTAAATAGCAACAGCCAGACTGCCCTCTGGCTGGAATTATGTTGGGCTGAACGAGAGGAGGCATAAAGACTATTTTTCCTGTACCATTAACCCACTGAGATATGACAATAGTGATAAAATTTTACTCCTGTGATTTATCTGCTAACATAGAACTGTAACATTTTGGGGTGTCCCTAACAGAAACAATGGTAGGTTGTGAAAAATCTAGACAAGTTGGGTTCTATAAGTGCTGTCACTTTTGCTTCTATGAGTCAGAAAAAACTGACAAAAATTTTTTGAGTAAATTAAAATTCAATGAGTGAAATTCGAGAGAGACTTAAAGTTTGAGTGTCATAGAATTTTCAAGCACCTTAGAAAAACATTCAATATATTTTTAGATAGAAACATGAGAGTTAACACATTCTTGGGAGGATCAGGATGAGTTTTCCATTTCCTTCCTCATTCTTTGCAGGTATCCCATTTTATTCTCCTTTCAATTCTGTGAAGTATGCATTTCATGATCCTCAGTTGACAGATGAGAGTAAGGACATCAAGAGATCTGAGTGCTTTGTCCCAGGGCACATAGTGGCAGTCCTGGGGCTTAAACATAGGCTCTCTGACCAGAGGTTGTCCCTCAATCCTATTGTATATAATAGTGATTTTTAAGACACGATAATTAACTAGTTTGCATTACTGGGGAACATACTAGAAGCACTAATCCTCAGACTCCTGAATCAGAAGTTTTGAGGTGGGGTCTAGCAGTCTCTGGTATAAGAAGCCCTGCAGGTGATTCTGGTGCCCACTTAGATCTGAGAACAATTGTTAGATGTGGCTCTGAGAGAGACATTTGAAAGAAAACCGAGAAAGGACTTTAAGAGAGTCTATTCAAGGTGTCAAGATAGTGGTGGAGAATCATGCAACAAAGGGATCCCACAAAAGGCCAGACACTTGAGAGGCACATGCTGAGAGGGCACGGAGGATCAATAATGGTAATAGGAAGAAACCATGGGGGGAGAAATGACTTGTGTTGCATGAGTTTCATGTAGTACTCACATGTTGGTTGGAATTAGAAGAGTGTTATGTCTGCCTAAGTATAAGTGAATAGGTCAATTATATAAGGGCAATCAGGTACTTTAGGATGCAAGTTGAATTACTTCACACATTGTAGAAGGTGGCGTTTATCTGGAATGAAAGGAGATTCTTTTTTTCTACAAATTAAAACAAAATAATACACCAATTGTGATGGAGGTTACTGGGTTTATATATATGTCAGAACTCACCATTACACCATTTAAATGCATATATATTATTGTATATAAGTTCTAAATAAGGTGGGTGTTAAGACAGAAATGTGTCCCTGTGGCAAGGCATGTGTTCTTGAGACAGCAGGAGCTTTAGCAGAGCCTTAGTAACCACTCTCCAGAAACCTTGCGGTGAGGTTTCCGTGGTCAGAGGGAAAAACTGCGCTCCTTTCCTTAGCCTTCCTCCCACCCACAGGTTCCATGAGTCACAATTGCTGTTGTGTCGGCACAGGTGTTGCTATTTTACATGTTGTGCTTTATTAATATATTTGATCTGAAATATTTTAACTTGCTGTGACTTCAGAATGTGTATAGTAGGAGTAAAATTCGAAGCAGTGAATTCATTTGCTGCTCCCTGGTGTATATCACAAGTGAGAGATTTCATGGTCGATCAAACCATATTATAATAATCTTATTCCTAAAACACAATGATTAATGCTTATTGGATCAAGGACATTTTACTTTTGAGGTAAATATACCTCTTTAAATAGAACCTTCTAAGAATATGAGTTAGGGAGGTTTGGAGGAGGTTGATTTTGTTTTTGTTATTTTCCATCAAATCCAACATGACATGTAAATGCTTATTTAGGTTTTTTTTTTTTTTCTCCCGTAAAGTACATTCCTTTGGAGAATAATATGTTTGTATGTTTGAATGAATTTCAGTGTGAGAGGATTTTTGCTGTAAAGGTGCCACCCTTTTATTACCTAATAATTAAGCCCTTTTTTTATGAAAGTGAATTTGTACTTTCGATGTGGTTTATCAGATGCTATTAATGAACCGCTATTAAGACTGCAAGGCTGCAGTCCCCTGGGCCCTGATTACAGGAATTAAAATAGTGTGTGTTGGCTTCCTGCTGCCACCCAGCAGGAGTGCTCACTCATAATTCCTTTGCATCTAGTCTCAGCAGGAGAAGATTGACAGCATTGCAGACCATGTCAACACTGCTGCTGTGAATGTTGAAGAGGGAACCAAAAACTTGGGGAAGGTAAGATTCTGCTCCTGCTGACAAATCGATGGTACTCAGGCTCCCAGGAATCTCTAGTATTAACCCAATTGATCTGCTCTCTTCAGTGTTGAGGGAACTGGCAATTAAGGAAATCAGGAAGAAACGACACATAGGTAGTGCAAGAAATCAATGGTTGTAATACTGTACTTTAAAATTCATTCTGTCATGAGAGAATTTTTTCTCAAAGAATAAACTGTAGGCTTACTGTAAAGCATTTGATATAACCAGGGGGTATGTGAAGAGATCCACGGAGAGGAGTGAAAGAGGGGTACAGGAGTCTAGTCAGGGCAAATGTGGACAAACGTGACAGCCGCGTGGAGAGGAGCCGTCCCGTTCCATCCAGTGTGCGCTGTGTCCCCAAGTGCAGAGCGTGGAATAATCTCTGCAGCTTCTGTGCTCTGGTGGAATCAGAATCTGTGGCTGCTGAGACTGCTTGGGTAAGCCAAGGAGATAGTAAGCGAATTGATTATTTGGCAAGTAAAATCGATTTGTAGCCACCCCTCTATAGTTCATTTCTCCTAAATTCTGAGATCTGGAGCAATCATGGTACCTGTGGAATAGTCCCCCACCCCCAAGTACAGTCTGTAAGGTTAATTATGCACCAAGAGTTAAAGAGGCATTGCCAGGAGTAATGAGAGGAAAATGCACATCACCACAGGCAGATATTCTCAACTCAATTTCTAAATTGAATTTTTTTTCCTCCTACAGGCTGCAAAATACAAGCTGGCAGCTCTGCCTGTGGCAGGTGCACTCATCGGAGGAATGGTGGGGGGTCCGATTGGCCTCCTTGCAGGCTTCAAAGTGGCAGGAATTGCAGCTGCACTTGGTGGTGGGGTGTTAGGCTTCACAGGTGGAAAATTGATACAAAGAAGGAAACAGAAAATGATGGAGAAGCTCACTTCCAGCTGTCCAGATCTTCACAGCCAAACTGACAAAAAATGCAGTTAAAAACCAGACTTTGGTATTTCTGGCACCAGCGTGTTCATCCTAACAAGCACCTTGCTGCTGTTGGACACTCAGTTGGCTTTTGGAACACTACGTGTCAGGACAGTGGCTCCGGATGCCCGAATGCGACTGAACCTTGAGAGTAGATGTGTCTTCTTTTGCTGGGTGTTGATGGAGATTCTAGGGATGGAGGAGCTAAGGGTGTGTAATGTCCTGAGGCCAAATTTAAAGATTGTCAAGGAGCAGATTTTCTGCCTGCAAATGTGAAAATTGAATTTAAAACTTGGTTTAGGACTATATATCCTTGAATTGGAGACCTTTGGACTAAGTATTTCTCAGACATATTAGTGTTAAAAGAATGGGAGGTCAGAAGGTATTCTATCAGATAGGGAACTCCACACAACTAGGGGTACAGGTGACCTCCAACATGGAATCTAGGGGGTGAACCCAACTGTAGTGTGAGCCAGCTTACATTATTTTTAGGTGAGGGAAAGTAATAGTATAAGAAAATGGAAAGAGGCCCAGTTTCTCTTTCAGATGTCATTTGTGACACTGGCTTCTTTCCAGAACTCTTCTTCTGCTCTCTTTAAGTAAAGAGCCCTGAATACCAAGTGGTGGAAGACATACTGAGCCAGTCACCAGGCTCACTGTGCCAGACTGACTCCTACCACCTCAACCATCCAGTGCCCTTTTTTTCTCTCCTTTGTGACTTTGCAAAGCTTTTCAGTTTGTGGGGTGAATGCTACTGCTGTGTAATGAGCACTTTTCTCATCATCTGCCTTCCCATCTCTACCCTTTCCTGTGACCTTTAAGTTTAAAAAGGAAATGAGGAAAACTTCCAGTCTCCAAAATTGTTAGTTTGGGCTAAAAATGAGGAGGCCCAAAAATTATGAAACCATATTCTGGGGTACTTCCTGGTTTTGAGGAGCTGATGGACTGACCCACTACACAAGGGGCTTCTTCTGTATCCTGTTCAACCTGCCTTTTGGGGAACAAGGAACTAACTTTCTACCTCACTGCCATTACAACTAGCCACTCCTCAGGCTTCTGTCTCTCCTATACTTTCCACATTTCCTGTTTCTTCCCAAAAATGCCATTTATGCTTAACTTTTTCCCAATGCTTTAGGGGTGACAAAGCCTGGTCCCAAGACTCGGTCCCAATAAGGAATTTGCAGTGCTAATACCAACACTTGACATTGACATCAAGCATGGTACAGCCCAACTCCATGTCTGTTTCAAGTAGAAAAAGGGTTTACACTTTAAAAACAAGGATTAGAGGCAGCCTCACCATACCCCTAACTCAGAGTAAGGAGGGAACTGCTTTTTTGCCTTACTTTTTTTTTTTTTTCCTGAGGTCAGGAGTGGGAGCAGGCAGTTGCTTACCAGGAGCTCGGTGGTTTATCATGTAGCTTCTCTCTTGCTGAGGTTACTTTAAGTAACTTTGCTACCTGTCATTTCTGTGTCTAAAGAGATCGCTTTCCAATTTTTGAGTTTCATCAATGAATTCTGAATGAGACAGCACCATGTAGCACTGCTCTTAAATAATTGACAAGTAGCAACTATTATTTGCTTACTTACATCTTAAGTACAAAAGAAAAAAACTGAGTAAGGGTCAGATTCTGATCCCATATGTGACAATGGACAACAAGGTTGGGATAATTACTTTTTTTCCATTCTTGGGATTGAACCCAGAGTCTTCCCAGTGAGCTACATCCCCAGTCACTGGTTTACATTTTGAGACAGGGTCTTGCTGGATCACTGAGTTGCCAGGGCTGAGCTCCAACTTGTGATCTTTCTGTTTCAGCTTCCCAGAGTGCTGGAATTGCAGGTGCAGCTGCCATGCCCAGCTTGCTATCCACGCTTCCTATTCTTTGGCCCTTGCTGTCCTTCTTCCAAGCTGTTCAAACCCAAATGAAAATCAGAACTCACACAGGTGTTTAAAACAAGACTTCCAGGGCTGGAGATACAGCTCAGCAGATAAGGGCCTTTCTGGCAAGCACAAGGTCCTGAGTTTGGTCCCTGGTACAAAAAAAAAAGAAAGAAAGAAAGAAAGAGAGAGAAAGGTGGGCCAGGAAAATGGCTCAGTGGAATAAATGTTTTCCTGGCAAGCACAAGGGCCTAAATTCAATGCCTGGTTCTGCCAAAACAAAAAAGAAAATATGTTTACTCCTTATACCTCAGTTGCAGGGATGATTCCGATATAGCTCATTTAATGTAGTTGACTGAAATTATAAGCTTAAGATACAGTTACCTCAAGATTCAGTTGTCAATTTTGTAGTTTCCAGTACTCTGCCCCTCTTCATTGCTGCATAATACTCCACTCTGCCAACCTCAAATTGGTCAAACTTTTGACATCTTAGAAACACACTAAGGATTATGAGGATCTGAGGGAGAGAGGAAGCCTAGCCCTGTATTTGAAGCACACATTCTGTTCTGGGATTGCTCACTTTTACTGAGCTACGTGGGAACCCAGTTGTATCTACACATTCTTGAACTGCTGCTCATTAGGATTGAAATATTCTGCTAGCAGTCTTCATGCTTCAGCAATCTACAGTCCTTTAAAAATGTTTTATAAAGTTACTTATAAATCGTATCTGATATCCCCTAATGGGAAAATTAGAAATTCCTAAAGCGTTTAATCAACTATAAAGTGCTTATACATAAATAAGTATGACATGGAAACCAATCTGAAAGCTGAATTTAATGCCCTATCATGTCAGATTAAATTTATCTTTATGACTCATTTCTTAGTTTTACTGCAATAAGTGAGAAAAAAATTTGGATTGGTGAATACACTGCCAGTTAGGGCAACTGACTTAAGAATCAAATAGTTGCAGAGGTGGTTGGTTACTCAGTTACAAAGGGGAGAAGCCAGCATGAAACTGGTTTGTTGAACTACAGCTGCTGGATTGCATCCTATGCCGCCTCTCCCTAGAGGACTAAGGTGAGGCCTCTGCTCTCCTCCCCAGACTCCACGTAGGTACTCTAAGGCCAGCTTTTAACTTTGCTTTCGGCCTCTCCATCCGATTCCTCACCAGGTGCCAGCAGCTTTTAATTGTGGCTGTTACAGAAGCGTGTAGTGTTGGATTTGATCTTACACTGTAAAATTAAGGTGTTATTCATCGCACCCGACCCACAAATTATTTTATCTATAGATTATAACCATTGTTTAAACAGTGCTTTTTATACTATCTAATGAACTTGTAATGGTTTTTAAAGCAAGTATATCATAACTCACAGAATCAAAATGATTATTTTTTAAAATGATACCCTTTTGGGAAACCATATGGTGACTGTAGTATTACTTAGACCATCTTTAAAACTTTTCTTTTGTAATTAACTCCAAAATCGTTTGCAAACCACGTAAGAGCCATCTGTGTTTTAGTTAGACCATCTTCCCTTGTCCTCTGACTGCTCCTCTCAGATCTCTTTATTTCTGACGGCTTAGTTCTCCCACCCCGACACCCAGGAGCCAGGACCTAAGGAGGCCCAGGAATGGCATGCTGGCACTGCCTAGAGGAAGCCTGCACTTCCGGAGCGAAGGGCAGACTGAGTTTACACTGAAACAGGCTGCCAACGGAGAACCCTAAGTCCAGAACCCTGCCTACCTCCCCTTACGTGCTGTCAGCTGTTTGCACCGGAGAGTGACTAAATGCTGGTAATACTGTTCGCAGCAAGTTGAAGAAGCTTGTAATATAAATATGCAGCATACAGCATTTTCCTCCTGTGAAAGTACAGAAACTAAACCATGTTTGTGTTCACTTTGAAAGCACAAAGCATTTCAGTGGTGTCACAGACCACCTCTGGGAGAACGGATGAAGAAAAGCCTGGGAATAGGTTCTGCTGTGACATGGGACATTCTCATAATGAAGGAGAGTGTGACTGTGGCTCTTGGATGCTTATGAATGCTGGATGTGTTTTCAGGAGTCAGATGGGCGCTATCGCTCTGGCCTATGTAAATACACAACATTTGCTTTCTGTTTGTTTTTTATGAACACTAAATTTCTAGCAAATGGTTCTCACTATTGGTATTTATTAATTTCACACCCTTCACAGAGGAAATCTTGGTTATTACAAACAAACAATGGTAAAAGTACCTTTGGCTAGCATCAAAGAAATTAGTTCATTGTAGCAAACAATGTATTTGTGCAATAGTAACAAAACGAAATAAAAATGCAGAAGCTTTCAGGAGCAGATGATTTGCTCCAGATCTTAAGCATTTGCACAAGAGCTAGAATTATAGCCATCATAATGGTCTCGGAGAAAAAAATCTCCTCAAAATAACCTGGTTTTGTTATGACGTGTCAAGTTGCCTGGTGAGGCTTGTGGTCTTTTCAGCCCAACTTCAACATTCAAACAGGAAAGAAATCCTTTCCCTAGAGGAAATTGCATTCAATTTCTTAACCTTCAAAAAAATGCCAATCCTGTCACCTATGCACCTGCGAGCTAAGCCTGAGGGCTCTTCTTCAGCAATATAAATACTCCGTCCTTACGTGGACCATTGTCCAGCTTCTGTGAGTAACTTTGCTAGTAAGCAAAGACACTCAGTAGTATTCTTTTTCATATTCTTTGCAGGTATCCTTGTTTTAAGACTCATGACTAAGATGTTAATGTAGGTTTCGTAAATTAAATCCCCTACAAATACATTCCATTGTATTGTTGAAGCTTTGGTGTTGCCACAGTTCCACACAAGGCCCAGTGGTGAGGATTCATTTGTCATTATGTTGCTCCATGGTGCTTGAATACGGAAACATGCAATAAAATTGATTCAACAAACATTTAACTGAATTTCTGTTATATGTTGTGTGCTAGCCCATCATAGACCTGTGGGATGAATATTCTAGTAAGCCTTTCAGTTACCTAAAGCAAGGGAATTAGAGCAAAATACACTAAATACCCTAAAAGAAGAATGAACAAAGTAATATAAGGTCATAAAGAATGAAAGGATTGCCTGCTTAGAGAACAAGGGGGAGCTTGTAGGACATGTGGTTTTTTTAAGTAGTAGCCTAAGAGGAATACACCTGGTTGGAGAAGGGTTTTGGGCCTCCGGTGGCAGAGATACTTCATGGTGAAAACCAAGGAATTAAAAGCTGGAGGGGCTGGGTAGATGGCTCAGTAGAATGAGCACTTGCCTGGGCGCAACATCCTGAGTTCAATCCCTGATTCAGGAAAAAAAAAATCAAACAAACAAACAAAAACAAAACAAAACAAAACAAAAAAACTGAAGATGAAGCTGGTTAGAAGGAAATAAAAGACTAGGGCATTTATTTAAGATTTAGTAATTCTTTGTTTACAGGAATTGATGCTTTGCTTGTGTCATATAAGACTGTTAAAAATCCTTATTTTTCTTTTGCTGCCTGGAAAGTAATAAACCTCACATATATTGGGATTCTTGGCCTATCTGCCCTCCTTTTCCACCTGTAGGAAATGATTCACCTTTTCTTGCCTCCCCATGAGTTCCTATTAAATACTGAACACCCACTTTCTGCTAGTCATTCTGGAATAAAGGAATGAAACTCCCTGAAAGATGCCTGGGATGAGTTCATGTTCTCTAAAACCGAAGAATGAATTTTAGAACAATGGAGGTTAAGAGCAGAATATTTATTGAGGGAAAGAAAGCTTCTGTCTGAGGCAAGGACAGAGGGGACCAGAGCTAGTGGCTGGCCCAGGAATCTGTCTTTTTCAGGGACTTTTATAGAGCAAAACCATGAGGTGAGGAGGGTCTAAGGTGGAAAACATGGGAACTCACACATGAGGTGGGACAAAACTATGATCAACCAATGGGACTACAAGCCAATTGCTCAGGTAAAACTGATTAAATCCAGGGCCAAATGGGGAAGTGAGTCAGTAAGCGGGCAGGAATACAGAGGGCTTAGCCTGTAGGGGGCTGGGTTAGGCTTCCTCTAGGTGATTATCAATCCCTCCTCTTTAGGGAGGTAAGCATTTGTTTGATCTTTTGTCTAGAGGTTTGGCCCTCAGTGGGAGGGTCTGTCTCACAAATGCAAGGTATCTTGTCTTCCTCTGTCTCCTTGAGGGCCTAGCCTTGTCTGACTGCCTAAATTTCTATCTAACTCAGCTGCCTACAATTCTGCATTGGAAACCCATTGGGAAAAGTCATGGAATTTATCCTTGTGTCCAAGATCTTTACAGTAGCTTTTCATCTCGACATGCACATTGACCACTGCAATTCAGTGTCTTCCATTTTACCGGAGGTTTAACTGTGCAGAGGTAAAATTCCTGCTTTGGTGATGGGATAATCTCCAACTAGATTGTAAGCTTCTTTTAGACTAGAGATCATACCATCTGCTTCTTGCATTATTTCTTGGCATGAAATAGTGACGGGAAGGAAAAAAGCTACACCCCTCAGTGATTCTCAGATGATAAATGATGAGGGCAAGTTCTGCCCTCTTTTGGGGGATGTTTTAAACATGTACTTGCTTTCCAAAACAGAAAATCTTTGCTTAGTACCTTTTATATATTAACAGGAATGAAAGATGCAAGAGAATAAATCTGGAAAATGTCTTTAGGACTTGTGAATCATGAATTTAAAAATGTCACAATTTGGAGGTGACAATATTTTTCAAATTAAAGTCAGAACTTAAAAGAGTTGAGTTACAAGTCTCTAACTTGATGTACATGTAAGACTGCACGCTGAGCAAAATTCTTAGGATCCCAAAGCCAACTTATGGAACAGGACTGAAGGTGAATGGATTCACCTAAATGTCTACAAATGACAAAATTACTAGATAACCAAAATTTTCGGATCAGCCAGCAGAGTCCATTCCAGTTATGTTGATAATTTCTTTTCCTCTATTTCCTTTGTTCATTTATTTTTAATTTGGCTTTTAGTGATCTTCCTATCTCCAGCCTCCCCAGTGCTAGGATTACAGGCTGCACAGGCCACCACACCTGGTCTCCCATCACCAGCTTAGTGCGCCTGGGGGCAGGGCTGGCTGGCGTGGCATGTGGTGCCAGGGATCAAACCCAGGCCCCTGCACTTGCCTAAGCAGGTGCTTAGTCCACTGAGCTATCTCACCAGGCCTTGGCTTTGAAAAAAAAAGATTTTTTTTTTTTTTTCCTGTGTTTTAGGGAAGGGTCTACAGGGTGTTCAGGGTCTACTAGATCAGACTGTGTTTACAGCCTCCCAAGGGCTGGGATTACAGGCGTGCACCACCACGCCCAGGCTCAATCACCATCTCAGCATGCCCAGGGGGTGGGGGTGGGGCTGGCACAGCAGGAGGATTGAACCCCTATCCCGAGCTTGCTTGCAGGTGCTTTAATCCACTGAGCTACTTGGCCGGCCCAAAAAAGACTCCTTGAGTACTTTCAGTGTGCCAAGTTGCTAGGAGGACAAGGTTGGAGTTTCTGCTTGCCTTGATATTCACTTATGTGGGGACAGGGAAAAGGGATACATGAATTTTGCATTCATTACCTATTAATTACCAAAAATATATAAAAGGCTGTGGGACCATAGTGGGTGGCAATTAGGCAGGATGAGTAGGAGTAACTGCTAACTAAGCATGGCTAGAAAGTGGACACTTTAAAGAAGCATTTTGTAAACTGCACTCTTTCTTTCTCTTTCAGATTCCAAACCCTGCCTCAGGGCAGGCCAGCCTTCTCTCCAAAGTTTTTGGAGAGGAACTTCTCAATGAAAGACTGGATTTGAATCACCAGCACACAAATTCAGTTTCCCATTCTACATACAACAAAATAACATGAAAAATAAAACTGGAATAGGAAGTAACTCTAATCGTCTAGATTCAGAGTAAAATAATACTGTTTATGATAGTGGATTAGTAAAAAGTCTCAAATATAGAAATATTTTATAAATATAGTTTTATTACTTGGAAATACATACAAAAATTCAAACAGCTAAAAAACAGTTACTAAGCAGAGGTCCTATTCAACCTGTTGTAATGAAAACATAAGTCAGTTATATCAGCATTAAACAACTTAAGTCCTGAAACAACTTATTGTTTTCAGGGTCTTTAAATACTGATTTTAAAAACTGGTACTTTGTTCTTCACACCTATTTAAATCTTTTCCCCCCTCAATACAGATACTAATGTTTCAGTTTGGTTCATGAGGTTTTATTTTCAAAAAATAGCAAAAGCCATTAATTATTTTGAAAAATCAGAACATTATTTGCCCATTTCCAGTCTTCTGTCACCTTATATTCATGGTTTTGCAAAAATTCCCAGAAGTAGTTAATGCATTGCATACAGACATGTAGGCCTTAAAATAATGTGGCAATTTTATTTCATTTAATTTTGCCCAGACTGTATCTCTTTAAAAAGTTAAAAATGAATATTCAGTTTTTTTCTGATTGTCAATTCATTACACTACTTTATCCATTCTTTTTGTCTTGACTCAGGTTTACAAAAAAAAAAACAACTTTCTTGGCAACTTTAGAATTTTCTACAAATTAAAGCTCATTCACAGCTTTACTATTTCCAACACTTTTATATTTTATCATCTTCTTTATAGCCCTTATTGTGCCAGTTTCCCGTTCTTTCACATGTGGCACTTGACAACATGACCTCATCAGAGGTCTCTGAGGCACTCCAGATCCTTATTTTCTGTCTTTATTTCGGGGTTGATTTGACTTTTAAAAACTTTTTATAAGGTTATCTAAAGAAAGTTTTTACTTTTCCTCTCATGACTGGGAACAATTTTTGAACTGGAAAAGGGAGCTGGCAGAGAAGCTCCTGCTTGGGTTTTGCTACCAACTACACTCTGCAGTCCAGCCTGCATCCTGCTGCTACAGCGAGGAGCCTGAGGCCCGCGCGTGACTGGGTAAAGAACTTCCATTGGAGTGCTCTCGGGGAAGTCTTAAACAGAGATCTGCTTCCACACTATTCTCTCTCAAACTTAAATAGGAGTATTCTTCAGTGCGGAAAACCTTTAACATGGCTCTACTACCTACAACCTACAGTACAAAGCCCTCAGGTTTGGCATCCACGGCCTTGTGTGAGCAGCTCCACTTCTCTTTTTGTATGTATTTAGTACAGGGTCTACAGGGTCTCACTATGTAAATCAAGCTCTAGTGATCCTCCTGTTTTCAGCCTCCCAAGTGCGAGGATCACAGACACGCATCACCACACCCAGTCTCAATCCCTATCTCATGGTGCCCCAGGGGCAGGGCCAGCACAGCACACTGGGATGCTCAGTCCCTGTCTTCCTAAGTAGGCACTTTAATTCGCTTAGCTATCTAGCCACTCTATTTCTTTCTCTAACCTTCCTCGTTTCTTCCCAATCACCAAAGTACTAATCTTCAAGATTTTATTTTCTCCAGTTATAGTGTTGCACACCTGTAATCCCAGCCTTCGGGAGGCTGAGGCAGCAGGATTGCTGAGTTCAGTGCCATTCTGGGCTACAAAGTGAGTTCCAGGCCAGCCTGAACTACATAGTAAAACCCTGTCTCAGAAAAAAAAATTTTTTTCTCTAATGCGCTTGGCTGTTTCATACCTTTGCTCAGATTATTCCATACACCACGATCCCTTGAAGAACACCAATTCATTTTCTTAAAACTCAGCATAAAAATAAACTCAAAGGAATCTTTGGAAATCGGTGCTTTGTGATGCCAGCCACATGAACCTGTTTTCCTCTCTCATTACACCTATAACCCCCTTAGGCACTGTTTACATATCCATGTGCCTGACAAAAGCATGAGCAACTCTCAGGCGGAAATTGTGCCTTATGTATCCTTGTATACGTCATCATACACAGTACCAAAAACTTGCCTTGACTGAAAGGCTAACCTTTGCTTCCTCATTACTTCCTCCAACCATAGTTCACTCTTGAGATCCACACCAACCGCCAGCCTTTCAAACATCTACACTGCTCTCAGGCCCAAGTTTCTCTCCAAGCAAAACAGTCTTAACACATCATTTAAAAACCTCTTATCCTAAGCTCTTGTTTCATGGGATACACTTGAGTTTGTTAAGGACTTTTTATGAAACTGAGCATCAAACGCTAAAGAGTGCACAGCACCTGCAGGGGTACAAAAATCACCCACGGTCACCTTTTCATTCATTCCCTCAGTAAACACTGGATGATGTTTACTAAGTGTCCAGGAACTCTAGGTATTACAGATTCAGTGTCCTGTCCTCAATGGTTCACAGTCTAGAGAAGACAGTGAAACTGGCAGGACCGGAGCCACTCAGTAGTGTTCAAGCGAACACTAGATAATGCACCCTCTAGTCTACTCACTTTGCACATGACCACTTTACCATCTTAGATCATACTGAACATGTATTTCTTTGGGTCTTCTGCATAGGAATTACTCTTAGTCCAGCTCTCTGAAACCTAATATTTGAGCAATATATTTATTTTCTTTCTCTTTTTGGTACGAGGGATTGAACTCAGGACCTTGTGCTTGTCAGGCAGGCACTTAGGCCCCTGAGCTGTCTCCCCAGCCCTATTTTTTTCAAACCCAATTATAGGATTACAAATGCATTCCAGTTAGTTGCATGTGCTGCACCTGGTCTTATGTGCTAGTGCTCTGAGTACCTGTTTTTGTCGTAGCCCTCTCAGATTGGTCCATGGTCTGACTTGAAGATAACACCTCTGACTTCATTCAAGTTATTTATTAATAGCAACAAAAGAACAGAACTAAGGCCCAAATTCTAGAAAGCTCTGTCCTATTTTTCTAATCATAGTCTGATACAATATTCTAACATGCCCCTTAACATTTATTATTCTGAATGAAACTATGGAAACTATGGATAAACCATGCATAACTAAGAATTGTATTTTTAAAAATAACAATTATTAAATATCCATTATAAATATTCATTTTATTTTAAAAGGATTGGAAGATGTTACATATATTACATATAATGGCACAAGTCAACCTTTTAAGCTTAAAAATAATCTTTCCCAAACTGGGATTGATTTGTACCCAAGTATAAAATGACCCTTTGCCTATAGCACCAACCCAGACCCAGAGGAAAGCCAATTTTGAACCTGTCTGTCCCCTGGCACTGGGAATCCTGATATGACACTGAGGGTCCTCTCCCTCTGGTTGTAGTCCCTGGCAGTACTGAGGCCTTGCCCTGGGACTCTGGGACTGTACACTGCAGGCCTGGGAAGTCAGGGAATCAGGGGGAGGATGGGACTCAAACAATTTTACAGTGGGGAAAAAAATTAATGCTTTAGTGCCTTTGCTTTGGATCCGTACAACTTAACAACACTACAAGATGAAGGAGGTTTAAAATTACTGGAATATAATATCTCCACTGGGTTTTCTCCTTGAAAATTGAAGTCTTATGACAGACGAAGCCTTAAAAGTTATCTAGTTCAATACTAGTAACCTGCTCTGCCAGTATCTACTTCCCAGAGTTAGGTATAATTCGTTCAAAGTTTTAAATGCCATCCATATGCCACTTTCTTAGACAAACACATAGCAATTTAATAATACTTTTCATTTTCTTTTCCTTAATTCATAAGGACAACTTCTGCCAAATGTTCTGGCTTATGGCTCTCCTCCTCTTCATAGTATGTTTAAGTTACACATTAAGAATCCAAGAAATACAACTACGAAGTTTTCATAAGCAATATCCAACCAATCAGTAAAACACAGTACACAGTGTGAAAATTTTAATTTATTCCCCTCCCAAGTATCCTTAGCTTTCAGAAATATGATAATGAGAATACCAACAGAACTGATCATAAGAAAAGAAAGAAAAGCACAGACTACACAGGAAACATCCCCTAAGTCCTCCCTACCCTCGTAGTGCAAGTTAATGGTATGTTTCTGGCAATGTCACCTTTCACTTCATTTATAAACATTTTCAGGACAATTCAAAACAAAAATAGGCCTCTGGTTTTTATTTCTTTCTTGGAACCCTACTAGATTTTTAAAAGAGGCTATGTTAAATGACAATGCATTTTGAGTCAGGGGGAGAAAAAAATTAAAAACCCAAAACTTCTTTCAGTTTATTCAAAATAAAAATACACATAGAATTATGAAAATATAGGTCTACTATTTCCACCATGTAAGTTGATGCTGCTGTTGAAAGGCTTGCAAACTGGTTTTCAAGTTTTTAAAGCTCATCTCGATCCCTCAATAAAGTGTACCTATATTCACTGGGTGCTAGTTTCTGGAAGGAGCTCTCCGGCGGACTGCTTGCTACATCTTGGGTTTGCTATAAAAGAAAGAATAAAGCATTTTTGTACCAACAGACTTTATGGAGTAATAGTATTATTATTATTATTATTATATGCAATTGTTTCAGGGTCTTGCTACACAGCTCAGACTTGTGAACCTCCTGCTTTCGGCCTCCTCAGCACTCGGATTACAAGCATGTGCTACCACGCCCAGACTCTGGCCCACTCAACCTGCACTGGGGGTGAGGCTGGCGTGGCATGTGGCGCCAGGAATCAAACCCTGGTCCCTGCACTTTCCTAAGCAAGTGCTTTAGTCCACTGAGCAATCTCACCAGCCCCGCATAATAGTATTTTAATAGTAGTAGGTGACTGGTAGTTGCCCTATATTATTTGCTTATTAATTAATAACAGAAAGCAACTACTGTCTGTGTGCCAATGACAGAAGTTAAATCTGGAATCTTTCTTTTCTCGTATCAACTGCCATTCTCAGATTTTCCCAGGCAGCACTGCCACTGTGCCACCAACTGCGGGCCTGGTGCAGTTTGCCGAGGTGTGGCAGGGGAAACAAAGCACTGGGCACCAGAGCTTCACTGGAGCACCCCGGTAGGTGGCACAACCCAGGTGCGGCCCAGGCTCTCCTCTTACAGAGGGCTGTGAAGAGAATGACAGCACTTACTCCCTAGATACAGAACTAATTTATCAACCGCCCAGTACCACAAATTATTAAGTTACTTGAAATAAGGAGAAAAAAATACAACACTGAAAAGAATTAATCTTTATAGTATTTTACTTGTGTGCTGCACTAGACAAAAATACATGGACAATCCAAAAAAGTGACTGCCAAGAAGTCGAAGGCAGCAGAGGATCTCCATGTTGACATTATTACACACTGTGCATACTAGCACATTCCCATCAGACGGCAACAAAGGGGTCTACAGACACAACACTAGAATCTGACATGTTCCACTTCCCCAACGCCCTTCCAAGTTTGTGCTCTGATGCAATTTGGATTAATTAAAATTTTATTACTATCCAACAAATATTTACAGTGTTTGGTGCCCACTAGACACCAAAGATAAATAAAGATGAATAAATACAAATAAGTGACTGTCTAAGGAGAATTTGAAACAAATCAGGTTAATGCAAGAGTGGTTAAACTACATCTTTTCCTACTCTGATAAAATACTAAATATGCCTTTTCTGAGGAAAACAGTTACCTTTAGGTTACTGCCTATAACAGGTCTGCCTCATTCTAGATTTGCTTAATTACCAAAGAAAAACCTGATGTTATGTTTTCAAGAAAAAAAATCGTGTCAGCAGACTCTAAAAAGAACTACTGACTCTAAACCTAATCTGACTCATCAATAAGATAAAGGAACATTCAGTTTTTATTTAGTAGCTTCTTTGGACAAAATAATGCATTTAAATTTAGGCATACAGAATAAGCAGGATTTAGGATATATCATCTTCCCACTTATTTTTGCTGTAATAGACATTATGTAAATTCTAACACATCCAAATGAAAATTTAGGGCTGTTTAGTAAAGCAGGGACATAGAAATTACTTATAATAGAAGTTACAAAGTAGAAATAATAAAAAATTCTCCAACTTAAAAATGTATTCTTTTGGTTGTTTGTCCTTTTTATCTTCTTAATTTCTTATATATTTTTTTCTTCTTCCAATTTTGCATGCAAATATCTGGTAACAAGAACAACTAGTTGGAAGACAACACTCTGCACTATGACAAGTACTATGAAATTCATTTACTTTGTTCAGTGAAATTCTGCATCCCTTGTAATTTTTCTGTTTTAATACTATTTTGTACTCTTTAAAAAATAGTTTTTTAAAAATGTATTTTTTTAGATAAAGACTTATATACACATATATTTAACTAGAATTTATATATAAATAAGACAATATAAAATTTTCATAAATCGGTGTCAAGCATTTGAAATCTCAAATAGGAAAGCTACATAAATCTTAAGTTCTGAACACCAAAATACCGTATTTATGAAGGCTCTTAGAACTGTTTAACAAGAATAATAAATCATTACTTTCCTTACAGTGTGGTCAATCTTCCAGCCATGTAGGCAAGCTTGGCCAATTACTAAAGTCCACGGATTTCCTCACTAATGTACTCCCAATCACTGCTTCTATCTAAAGCCACATGAATTTAACCATGTAGCAACCATATCCCATAGAAGTCAAACTCAGAGCACCTTAGGTGATCAAAACAATTATATATTCTTCAACTATGAAGGCCTAAAATTTTACCAAGTAATTTTAAATAGCACAATTTCTACATGTTCTATAATTTGTTCAGAATTTCTTTATAAAGATATTTAAGAGCTACACCTTAAGCTTTGTAGGAGTTTCAAATCATCTTGGAGGCTAAAAGAAGAAAAAAAAGAGTTCCCATAAGAGAAGAGTCCCACCTCTCCTGGGGCTGTATCCGTCGGGTCAGGTCCATGATGAAATTCTCTGTGGAGTTTTCCAGAATGTAAGTCAAATACAAATTGCTTCAGTTTGCCTGGAATTCTAAAACCAAAGTCAAAATTTTAGCTTAAACTGCTAAAATGAACTTTACCAACTTCATAATTAAAAATACTTTTACATTTTATGTACAAAATAGAGACGTAATAGGAAGTAGAGAGAGAGAGCTTTTTAAAAGGGGAAGTGGATTAAGAGATGGCAGGAGGAAAGCAGGAGGGAAGCCGATGAAAGAATCATGTGTAGGTTCATATACCAACTCCACACAGGAATGCGGACATTATGTTCTGTAAACACATACCCCCCAAATGGGAAGAGGATCAAGAAATGGAAGGAAGAGGAGAAAGAGGGAAGAAGGAGAGATGGGATGGAAGGGGTAGCAAAAGGAATTAAGGTGTGTTATACCCATGTGCCAGTTCCCATGGTGTATTACACATGAGTACCACACTGAGCTAGGCAGGTTTATGTATCAGGCTTTCGCTTTTGTCATTATTTCCTTGAGTTGTATCTAATAGAGATTGATCATTGTGTTATTAAAGAATAAAGACTTCTGACAAAGTGCGGGTAAATTATACTTAAAAAACTTCAACCAATTTTTGCTGTATTTTGGGTTTTTATTTGTTTTGTTTGAGACAGGGTCTCACTACATGTAGTCCAGGCTGGCTTGAACTTTCTACATGGCCAAGGGTGGAATCAAACTTGTGGTTGTCCTCCTGCCTCAGCTTCCCAAGTACTATGGTCACAGGTGTGCACCCACCACACTTGGCTTTTTTTTTTTTTTTTTTTTTGTATTTTAGTGTAGGGTCTACAGGGTCTCACTATGTAGATCTGACTTGTAGTGATCCACCTGTGTTCAGCCTCCCAAGAGCTGGGATTATAGGCATGTGCCACCACATCCAGTTTCAATCATTGTCTCAGCGCACCCTCGGGATGGAGCTGCATGGCATGTGGGGGAGCGACCTCAGCGACCCCTGCAGCTGTCTCTGCCAAAGCAGGCTCTTTAATCTGCTGAGCTATATGGCCCACCCTCTGGCTTGCATTTTTAAATTTCAATTTTTTTTGCTAATTTGACAAGTAAAAGATACCTGCATTTTAACTTACATTTCTTCAGAAAGTAAGCATTTTCTCTTTATTGTTGTTTAATTTGTATTTCTGCTCAAGTGAACTGTTTGTCTTCAACTGAGGAGGTACATTTGAAATTCATTATTTTAAAGAGAAATTGTTTTGTTTATATAAATTATAAGAATTTAAATGTCTGTACACACACTTTAATTCCTTGGGTAGAACTGACTTTTTCAATCATTTATTGGTAGCAAAGAATAATTGGCTTGGGTTAATATTCCCAGCCTCTTTTTCTTTTGGTCCTTTCCTGAAGTCCTAGAAGTGCTGTTTCTTCCCTTCAATAACTCCCACTGAGACGTACCAACCAATATCTTCATTGTACACCCATTGTGGCTCCCCACTAGCTCCAATGCAACAGAGACCAGCAGGCGCCAAATGCACAGTTTACAAATGCAAATGACTGTCAGGTAGCTGTATTGACAGAATGCCTCTGAAAGGTTCTCCAATGTTGAAATAATTGCACATGCGGCAGAGATAAACATTGAGATCAATTTAAATTTAATTTGACATCATTTACTGTCACCCACAGCAAAGTGCTGAAATATCTGTTCAATTCATAGAACCGCAAAAGGTCTCTATGTAGGGCCTTGCTAGTTTTTTAAATAATGTCCAAAGACTATCCCAAATAATACAGGAAGGACTGTGTCTACTAGTCAACACATGATTTGTGAATGATTAAGTCTTCAGTATGACAGACTTAGGGAGAATACTCAAGATACTTTTTCCTCTAATTTGACTTTTCCCACTTGTCAACAGATGAGAGTACAGAAAGAATTTTTGTAAAAAGCAAAGGCAAAGGCAACACGGACTAAAGCACCTGCTTAGGCAGATGCAGGTGCTTTAGTGTACTGAGCTATCTGGCTGGTCCTACTTGTATGTGTTCTGAGAATGTTTATGCAGATCCTTTACCCATTTTTTAATTTATTTTTTATCTATATATTTTTATGTATTTGGTTGTTGCAGGATCTCACTACACAGCTTGGACTCAGTGATCCTCCTGTTTCAGTATCCCCAGCACTCGGATTACAGACACGCACCATTACGCCCAGACACTGGCCCACTCAGCAGCCCCTGAGGGTGTGGCTGGCATGGCATGTGGTGCCAGAGATGGAACTGCAGTCCCTACCCTTGCCTAAGCTTACCCAAGCAGGTGCTTTCATCTGCTGAACTTTCTCACCAGCCCCTTTTACCCATTTTTAAATCAGATTATTTTCTTACTAATGAGTTGAGTCTCTTGTACACTTATTAAGTATGGTTTTCAAACACATACTTTCTCATTCCATAGACCAGTAATGGTAAACCTTTTAACTTGTAATGCTAACGGCACAGTGCGACAACTGTCAGAGGCTAACCACCACTGCCATACACTCTCTTCATGCTGTAAATTGCTGATGTAATCTCATTTATCTTTGTGCTTTTATTGCCTGTACTTTTGTCAGAGCTAAAAAATATTGTTGCCCAAGTTGACATCATGGAACCCCCATCTACACACACATTTTCTTCTAGCAGCAGTTCTATACGTCCAGGTCTTATGGTTAAATCTTTGATTTATTTTGAGTTAAAGTCTATAGGTGCCATGATTCCTCCTGCTGTGGATATCCAGCTCCCCTGGCCCCCACTTTCCCCAGCACCAAGTACTGAACAGACCATTCTTTTCCCACTTGTGTGTTCTTACTACCTTCATTGAAATTTGGTTGAATATAAATGAGTGGCTTTACTTATGGGTGCTCTAACTCTGTTCCACTAACTTATGACTACTTTTTTTTCCCCATAATTTTATTGATAAAAAATAGCAATGAGACAGTTTCAAATCAAATCGGTAGGACAGTTTCAATAATTAACACACTGCATACATTCTTCCTAGTGGTTAATTGCTGTACAAGATGCGGACATCATATCCTATTTACAAACACCATTAGAACAAATCATTCTATTCATTAACAGAATGTAACTATAAATCTATCCTAACCACTTTGAATACACAGATACAAAATGGACATTCATCTGTATCCCCTTTTTTTTGTTAAGTTCTGTTATTCAAATATTATAGGTGTGTAAACTCAGCAAAATATTCTAAAAGAGTCCAGTAGCCCATAATAGTATTGGGTGTTCCACTTGAGTGGCAATATCAGAAATTGTTGACCTGAGTCCTCCACAGCTCAACATAACAGTATGGCTTTACTTCTTTTTTTTTTTTTTAACCTTTATTTTTTTTTTCAAAATTTTATTAATAAACAGACTACTTTTATGCTATTACCAAATTGTTTTGATTACTATTGCTCTGTAGTTTTTGTTGTTGTTAGTGCTGAGGATTGAATTCAGGATCTTTGCACTGAACTCCATTCAGCCCTTCAGTTTTTATTTTGAGACAATGTCTTGCTAAATTGTGAATTACCCAGTCAAGGCTCACATTTGTCATCTTCTGACCTTGGCCTCCCAGAACGCTAGGCCTGCAGGTGTATTCTACTATGCCCAGATGCTCTGTAGTATATTTCAAGGTCAGACAGTGCGATGTCTCTGCAAACCACTTTTTTTTTTGTACTGGGGATGGAACTCAGGACCTCGTACATGCCAGGTAGGCACTTACGCTGCTCAGCTCTCTCCTGGCCCTCAAAACCACTTTGGCTATTCAAGGTCTTTTGTTTCATACAACTTTTAGGACTGATTTTTTTTTATTTCTGTGAGAAACATCATTGGAATTTTGATATGAACTGAACAGAATCTATCCATCATTTTTGAAAGTATATACAATTTAACAATATTAATTTTTCTAATTCATAATTATTGGTTATCTTTCCATTTCATTACGTTTTCTTTGATTTTTAAAATCAATGTTTCATGCTTTCCATTTTCTCAAATTCATTTCTAAATTTTTTAAATGTATAACTAGTATAGGTGGAATTATTTAAGTATTTCACATTTTAGACTTGTTCAGACTTTGGCATATTTACATAGACTCTACCAACTAAGCATACCTAATTCAAAAATCCAAAATCTGAAATTGAGCATCATTTTAACATTGAAAGTTTCAGATCTGGGAGCCTTTCAGATTTGAGGTTTTGGCTAAGGATTATCAACCTGAAACTCATACCATCTGCAATCAGGGACATTTTACTTCCTGTGCATTGGATGCTTTTTCTTTCTTTCTCTTGCCTAAATGTTCTGGCTAGGGTTTTCAGCCCTGTGCAGAATAGAAGTGGCAATAATGGGCATCCTTGTCTTCCTCCTACTCCTAGAAGAAAAGCTTTCCCCTTTTTTCTATTGGGTATTATCTTTTCTATGGGCTAGTTATATATAGTCTTAGGGGGCTGGGGAGATAGCTCAGTAGAATAAGCGCTTGCCTGGCAAGCGTAAGGGCCTGAGTTCAATCCCTGGTTCCACCAAAAAAAAAAAGTCTTAGGTATGTTCTTTGTATGCCTATTTGAGTTTTTGTCATGAAAAAGATATTGTATTCAGCAAATGCCTTTTCTACATCTAATGAAGTAATCTTGTTTCTTTTTGTTTTTCATCCTACTAATGTGGCATATCAATTTATTGATTTGCCATCCATCCTTGCATCACAGAGATAGATTCTCCCCACCATGATAAATGAATCATTTAATCCCCAATTAAATTCATTTTACTGGTATTCTGTTTAGGATTTTTGTATATGTTTATCAAGAGCATTGGTTTGTAACTTTCTCTTCTTATAGTATTTCTGTCTGGCTTTGGGTTACTGATGGCCCCATAAAAATGAGTTTAGAAGTTTCCCCTCCAGAAGAATTGGCAAGAGTTCTTTAAATATTTGGTATACTTCTGCAGCAAAGCCACAGGTCCTGAGCATTTTTTTTTTTTAAAATGGGCAATACTTTATGACTGAGAGCAAGCTTCTTTCTTGTTATTAGCGCATTTAGATAGTCTATTTGTTCATGATTTAGTCTTTGTAG